GCCTGGTTAGAAATAGTAGGAATAGTTTAAGAACTTGTTGTCCCTTTTCTAAATATGCTCTAGGGTACCTTAATTATCCGAAAAATTACTAAGGGGTGACAATCCATCTATGTCTCCGTTAATTTCAATTTCCGTTATCTCTTACTTGTTTCTTTCCCGTTTCTTTCCTTCTTTCTTGCTTGCTTTTTTTCTTTTTTTCTCTTTCCAATTCCCATTAGAGACCCCCCACCCCACCCAAATCCCTCCCCCCTTTTTTTCTTCCTCTATTTTTTCTTTTCTTTTTCTTTTTCTTTTATTATTATTATTATTATTATTATTATTATTATTATTATTATTATTATTATTATTATTATTACTTAGGGTGAAGTATTATTTTATTATTATTTATTGTATTATTTATTAACGGTGACCCAAACTTAACGGTGACCCAAAAATAATCCCACCATTATTTTATTATTATTTATTGTATTATTTATTATATTTTATAATAATTATGATTATTTATTTTTATCATTTTACTTAGTTATTAGTTTTACTACTCTAACTTTTTTAGAAAAATAAACTTAAAACCCCATTAAAAACAATTGTATGCCCACATTGACCTTTCCCAATTTCCAATTTTCACTTGCATAAAAAAGGTTAACATATTTTAAAGCTTTAAGTAAAAATTACTTTTAGTAATATATTTATGTATCGTTTATAAAAAAATATGTATTCCCTTGGTTATAATTTTACGTCTTAATTCATTATATTAATATGAAATGTAACATCATTTTTATCGTTTTACATTTTCTATAAAAAATTCTTGAGAAATTTACCCGTCTTTTTCTTATCCCAAGTCCTCTCATTTTCTAGATTACCCACTATCAGTGGCGGCTATCGCTGACCACCACATGACTAATGCGAAAGAAACTTGGAATGACAAAAAATTAGAGTAGTAAAAATACTAGCAATTGTTTTTAATTATAATAGTAATAAGTTTTAATTTAAATAATAATTAGGGTTATTTTTACGTAAAAAATAGTGTAACAAAACTACTAATTAAGTTTTAATAATAATAATAATAAATTTAAAAAATAGAAGAAAAATAAAACAATAAGAAATATATAATAATTAATACAAAGTAATTATTCTTACCTTAGAAAAAAGTAGATATAAAAAATAATGAAAATGAGAAAAATAACTAAAACCATACAAAGTTAATCAAATAAATAATGTAATCAATATAAATTAAACAGAAACTGGTAAGAAGTAAAATAAATATATACGGAGTGGTGGGTTTTAACATTTTACACACTATACGGAGTCTTAATGTACAATTTATTTTTTAAAAGAACAAGCCGTCCGGTAAAGTTGGAATTATTGTAGATAAGTTTTTCTAAAAAAAATAAGAAGTGATATGTTAATACTTTGTATAATGCGTAAAATATTAAAACTCACCCGTATATTTTTATTTTACTTTTACCAATTTCAAGTTAGTTTCCATTGATTACCTTATTTATTTTATTATTTTTGTATCATTTTAGTTACATTTCTCATTTTTTTAATTTTTTATACTCCGTAACTATTATTTTTTTTAAACTAAGACTAATCTTTAAAAAAGGAAAAAGAAATGATGATGAAAGTAGAAAGTAATTTTAAAAATTTAAAATTTAAAATTTAAAAAAAAAATAAAAAAATGAAAATTCATCAAAAATAATCCCAACTTTCATTTTGTTGCCTAAAACGGGCATTTCCGTTAAGCTTCCGTTAGAAACTTAACGGTGACCCAAAACTGGCAAATTTCAGTAAAGTTGGGATTATTATGCATCACAATGAAAGGTGGGATTATTTTTGAAAGACCGGGTAAAGTTGGGATTATTTTGGGTAATTTTTCCTAAAAATAATATGGAGCAGTTTATAATAATAATAATAGAATACAATGAAAATAATAATAAATACTCCGTATGAGATAATAATAATAATAATAATAATAATAATAATAATAATAAGTATTGCTATTTTTCTAAAAAATATAGTACTAGACTCTTTGTAAAAAATGAGGAGGAGGGGGG